AACTGGTAATAAACAAAATGAATTTCCTTTGGCTAAGTCTGTTATGCTTCTGATGGTAACTGGTCAGTGTTCTCCCCCTGCTTTATTTCAATGTATGAACCTTTTTTTATACTTTTTTCTGCCCTGTCCTGTTTAGGAGGACGGTGGAAGAACAGATTCAGTGGGCACCCATTGTCCAGTCAGGGTCAACCCAGCAAACACTTTTTAAACAGGGAGTTCACTGAGTTCTCAGGATTACCTGGTAGTATTTAAGTAAATAATAGGTACAAGTCTATTTTGTCAAGCAACATTTTATCCTAGAACATTTATTGGATAAATATGTTTTTGTAAAGGGGCTGTTAGAATGTGAATTACTAAGTGACTGTCAGGCAAAATTGTCATCTCTGATATGATCCACTGGGGTGGATTTTGTCTGAAAGGCTGAGAAAAGGGGTGGGAAAGGTAAGATCAAAACTACCGAGTCAGAGCATCAAGTGATGATAATGCAGATAATGACAGAAACAGATCTTGTGACTCTCATCTTTTCTGGCTAAAGCTATGTCCCATAAAATGCAGATGAGACACAGCATCAGATGGGACATGGAAAGGACCGTGGTCAAGTGCAGTCTCGCTTTCAGTTCTAAAGGCTTCAAAATTAGTCTGAGGAAAAAGTGAAAAATATGTAATACATGCATGATTTGGCACATTCCTATATATGATATTTAGAATTGCACTGCATTCTAGGACGTCATTGGATTTTTTTTTTTTAATTATAGTTTTTCAATTTAAAAGCTACAGGGCACTATACATTCTTGTAAAGCACTTCTAGGAAGATTCAAAGCTTCAGAACTTTTTAAAAACTGATTTGCATTTCAAAGTAGTAGTGGCTGTTTTGGGTGAGATCCCACAGAACTATTAACTAATAACTTTAATGAGCTTTCATATTTGCATAGCTGAACTTTGAATAGGGTCCTCTTTTAAAAAAGAATATCAGCCAACAGTAACTTGACTCTTGACTTTGGACTTAAAGAACAGAGCCAAAGACAAAAATGGTAATTAGTTTATTTTTATTTTTTTAATAAAAACTCCTTCATATATTTCATTTCCCAGAGTCTATCAAAGCATGACAAATACCCCAGAAAGGTCAGGAAAACAATTTTATATGTTGTCATCCACATTCAAACAAAGCAAAACTCTTAGTTCATAATAATTTTGGTTTTTGAATTTTCATCTAACAAGCTATAATTTTAGAGGACTATTGTGTAGTGAAAGGCGTGGTACAATCACAGATCAGCTAGACTATACTTTTAGCTTACATTTATCTGTGTGTGTGTGTGTGTGCGTGTGTGTGTACATACTTGCATTCATACACCTTATTGCCCTGTATGTACCACAATGAAGAGAAGGAATCAAAAAACGACAATGCTGCAGATGTTTAGAGGAAAAACCTACGCTGGCAAAGATAAAGTATGTAGTGCTGGTTGTTTAAGCAGGAAAGAAAGTCATCATGTTGAACACTGACACTAACAATTCAATCCTCTGCCAGTGAAATCACCAATTAACATCCCACAAGTCTAAAAAATGCAGAAAATAATTTTTCGCTTCAAGAAATCATCTTGCAGTGAAGAATATCTTTTAATGGCATAATTTCTTTCTTTTTAAAGTAGCATTTTTATTAATGAATGTATACTAATAAATAATTGTGATCACACTGACATGTAAGGTACTTTACAGATGAAACTGTATCCTTTCAAAATTTTCATAGACTGGAGGCACAAGGTAGGCCTAGCTAGTGATGTTATTGGACATTTCCTGAAAATACAACTTTATATTCACTTAATTCAATGGGGGCCATGTGCAATAGATCGTCAAATTCACTCTAGGCTTCTCCCAGAGTTTACCTTGTCCCACATGTTTTTCTTGCTAGACCTTTTAACCCTAGCTGGAGATAAGGTTACATTTTTTGCATAATGAAGATGAAGTAATTTTTCCGTAAAGCAATTCAAAGTGAAGGGTATAGTCACAGATTTGGTTAGAAGAAAGAATGGTAGTATCATCTGGCTCAATGTAAATTGTAGTAATAATAAATTTAATTTATACTTTCTTCTAACCTGTACTTATTGATCCACCTAATCTTTGTTTTTCTGACTTGATATTTAGTATAATTTATTATTTGTCCTTATTGAAATGTATCCACTCCAGATTATATCTCAGTCCTGAATCATGCTTCCTTTCAAGTGCATACACACGCATGCCCCCACCCTTACAGATAAATATATATCTATCTCATTATCTTTACACACACCTTTGCAGAAGACTACTGTTAATTTTTGAATTGCTTTTTCTATATTCCAGCCACAGTCAAAAAAGCCTTTTATTATCTTTGATACTGTCTGTCTTCTACTTTGTACTCCTCAGAAGTTTTAGTTACCAGATGGATTGGATAGCTGCAAAAAGTGCTTCATATTTTCACTATCTAAACCAAACACTCCAGGATGCTCATCTTCCACTGAACCTGTTTACTTTGTGCTTCATACACTATTAGATGGACACAGTAGGAAATGAAATCCCTGTGTGGTAGAAATATCACTATGAAAGCACTAACCTCACAGACTGAGCTCTGAAAGTAAAGATCAGAGCACCCAGAAGCCTCTCTGATCTAAATTCATTGAAAACACCTAACTCAGAATCCCTATTGGTTTCCAGTTTTAAGTTAGTGCCTAATGAAGTCAAGTTTATCTCTGAAAACCTTTGTCACAGCTGGAGATAACTAGCAATAGTCACTTGCAAGACTACAATTTAAGGGGAAAACTGAATCTCAGTAGGCTGTCCTTCTAGAACAAAGTGGAAATGTACTTTTATAGGTAATATAATACAGAGTAATTTTCATCCAGTCTCCAGTCTATACGTCAAAACCAGCGTGCAGTGTGCCTCACATTAATAGTCTCTGCATGGAAGTGTAAATATGGAAATACAAAGCCACATCAGTCAAGAGTGAAATTCTTTCACAGAATTGTGAGAGGAGTAATATGTGCATCATTCATGTCTGATCAGTCAAAGAATGCAATTTATACGAAGTTCCAAGATAAATGCTTTTTCACTCAGTTTAGTTTTTAACAGTCAGAGCACAACAGCTGTTTATTTCTCAGTCCAGTTACAACAGTACAAATGCATACAATCCAAACCTTAGAGTTCCTGTTTAGAAATTTTTTAGATACAATAAGATCAATAGATACAAATATCTGCTTCTTTTCTTGTATCTTCAATCTCCACTGGTCTGATCTTCTGACCACAGTCTGAGTGCAACTCTTCTCCATCAGGAAGGATGATTTGGTGAGTTATCATATTCCAAGTTGTGTACCAGCGGAGTGCACTGTTGCTGTAGCAGAGTTACTGGTGGGACTTTCTTTTTCATCAGTCTGTGATTTACACAGGACTATTTTCATGTGCTTCAAAGAGCTTATTTGCTCAAATAGCTGTCTGATTGCCTCATCAATTCAGTTATACCATATTTGTTTAAATGCATTTATCCTCTGTGTATGGGAGGATTTCTTTTATGCTGCAATCCATATGACAACACAAAAAAAATTTACTCAAATGCAATTTACAAATTTCTTACGCAGTATCAAGATGATCCTCAAAACCCAAAGAGGCAGATAAGTTGGTGGATTCTTAGCTATTGCATAATTTTGTCATTGTGCCTTGGAGCAGATGGGCCATAGTCATCTGTGCAGGTCCAAGGGGCAGTTACTGGTGGGAGTTATTTAAGTATTTTTACAAGTACAATTAAAATGAAGCTCAAATTAAACAATACAGAAAAGGCATCAAAAGCCTGAGGCCCATTATAAGGCTTATTAATATTTTGAAGCCTGTATCCCAGCACTATACTTAGCCTCATCAAGTTGGTTGTACCATAGGAGTTAAGGTACTTCCAGGGTCCTTGCTTGCAATTTGCTTTACTCTGAACATCTCAAACACACCTTCCTTTGATGAACACCTATATCCTTTTCTTCTTCTTCTTTTGAAATGGGTTATTGTTTGTCTTCATTTAGTAGCTTCTAAGTCGACGTAGAAAAAGTCTCTTGCCTTTGGTGACTAAACCAGAAAAGTGCATTGCTTGGAGAAGGGTAGCTACTTTAGTAGAAAGTATCTTGCCTTCTTCTATCCTCATTTTTAACCTGAAGGTGTGAATGAATAAATCCTTTACAAACTGTGATTTTCCCTAAATCTGTGGGGCTTCTTTGGACACTGCACTGCCTAAATATGGACAGCTCATCTTACCTCGTTTTTGTCTTCCTAAAACTAGTTTATATGTCTTGGAATCACAAAGATATATTCTGCAAACCCTTTTTGGATCTTGGGTTCTAAACAGTCACACAAAATATCTCTGTGCAGTAAAAAGCAAAGAATCAATTTGACCTATTATAAATTCTAATCAGAGATGCACCAGTTTTTCCTTCCTCATCTGAGCCATTGTGTATGTGTATGCATGAACAAGCTTCATCTCTTTATAACTGTAATATATGCAATAAATAATAAGAGGAATCTTTTCATTGTCAAGGACCTCCTTTTCTTGATTATATGACATCATTAACATTTGCCTTAAAACACTAATGGGAGGCAAAAGCTTGGTTTCATATCACCTCACAGAAATCCAATGCTGTAAACTTATCGCAAATGCTATTAGCCCTTTTTGCATAGTGAATGGTATTTATCTCTGGGTTAATTATACAACTGTCTTGGGGAAACCTACTGAAATTGAGAAAAGACTGAAAGGTCTTCTACTGTTTGCAGTAGTAAAAGCTGTTTTGTCTTCATCAACATCTGGAGGTAACTGCTGGATACACAAATCCTTTTACTAGCCCTATGATATTGAAGTAAAATCTGCTTTATATAGGTCATGCCATTCACAATAGGTTTTATTGATTTGCTTAATATGAAAACACATGCATTTGCTTTGCAATGGTACTGTTCTTTTTCTGCAGACTTAACTTCTCCCCTTTCCCATCCTCACCCCACAGGCCCGTGACGGAGGGTTAGCCCAGATCAGTGGAGTCATGCGTCACACAGCTCTATCATGCTGGCAGCTGTTCCTGGGTCTGGCTGTGCTGCTTGTCTTCACAAGCCCCACTGCGGGCTGCCCAGCCCGCTGTGAATGCTCAGCACAAAACAAGTCTGTCAGCTGTCACCGCAGACGTCTGATGTCCATCCCAGAAGGCATTCCCATTGAGACCAAAATTTTGGACCTCAGCAAGAACCGACTGAAAAGCGTTAACCCTGAGGAATTCACATCATACCCATTGCTGGAGGAGATTGACCTCAGCGACAATATTGTCTCCAACGTTGAGCCTGGAGCTTTTAACAATCTCTTCAACTTGCGCTCCTTGAGGCTGAAAGGAAACCGTCTGAAACTGGTCCCCCTTGGGGTGTTCACTGGGTTGTCAAACTTAACAAAGCTTGATATAAGTGAAAACAAGATTGTCATTTTGCTGGACTACATGTTTCAAGATCTGCATAACCTAAAATCCCTGGAGGTTGGGGACAATGATTTGGTGTATATATCACACAGGGCCTTCAGTGGGCTGCTTAGCCTGGAGCAGCTCACCCTGGAGAGATGCAACCTCACAGCTGTACCAACAGAAGCCCTTTCTCACCTCCACAACCTCATCAGCCTGCATTTGAAACAGCTCAACATTAATGCTTTGCCGGCGTACGCCTTTAAAAGACTGTTTCGCCTGAAGGACCTGCAGATAGAGGCCTGGCCCCTCCTGGACATGCTGCCTGCCAACAGTCTGTACGGTCTCAACCTGACTTCTCTATCCATCACAAACACCAACCTGTCTGCAGTACCTTACTCTGCTTTTAAACACCTGGTTTACCTGACACATCTCAACCTGTCTTACAACCCCATCAGCACCATCGAGGCAGGCATGCTGTCGGATTTAGTGCGCCTGCAGGAGCTCCACATGGTGGGGGCACAGCTGCGTACCATTGAACCACATGCTTTCCAAGGGCTCCGATTCTTACGCGTGCTTAATGTGTCCCAAAACCTGTTAGAAACCCTAGAAGAGAATGTATTCCATTCCTCCAAAAGCCTTGAGGTCCTCTGCATTAACAACAACCCTCTGGCCTGTGACTGTCGTCTTCTTTGGATTTTGCAGCGGCAGCCCACCTTGCAGTTTGGTGGTGAGCCACCAATGTGTGCGGGCCCAGACAGTGTCAGAGAGAGGTCATTCAGAGACTTTCACAGCACAGCTCTCTCCTTTTATTTCACCTGTAAGAAGCCCAAGATACAAGACAAGAAGTTGCAGTACCTGGTAGTGGAGGAAGGACAGACCGTGCAGCTCATGTGCAATGCTGATGGGGACCCACAGCCTACCATCTCCTGGGTTACCCCACGCCGGAGGCTGATCACAACTAAATCAAATGGTAGAGCCACTGTGCTGGGAGATGGCACCCTGGAGATACGATTTGCCCAAGACCAGGACACTGGGATATATGTCTGTATTGCAAGTAACGCAGCTGGGAATGACACCTACTCAGCCTCCCTGACAGTAAAGGGGTTTACTTCAGACCGTTTCCTTTATGCCAACAGGACCCCTATGTATATGACAGACTCCAACGACACAAGTTCTAATGGAACTAATGCAAACAGCTACTCTCTGGACCTTAAGACAATATTGGTGTCCACAGCTATGGGCTGTTTCACATTCCTTGGAGTGGTTTTATTTTGTTTCCTTCTTCTTTTTGTGTGGAGCCGAGGGAAAGGCAAACACAAAACCAGCATTGACCTTGAATATGTCCCTCGCAAAAACAATGGTGCTGTGGTTGAAGGGGAGGTTTCTGGACCACGAAGGTTCAATATGAAAATGATTTGATGATATTCTGCTAGCAGTGCTTTTTCTGTGGCATTAAAACCAATTAAAACAGCCTGGCATGTGGAATTGCTAGGCAGAAGCAGCTTAATGCAGCTGTCAGTGTATCAAAAGGTTATATGAAAATGGAAAGACTATTTGTGGTTATACAACAGAGCCTCCAGACCTTGAGGCAGATGTGTCAGGGCCTTTCATAGAACTGGGAAATTGTACTAACTGTTTGCATTGCAAATATTGGCATTCTGGGGATATCAGCAATGAACCACTGGCTCATGCTCATGGACAATTGTTCAACATTTTCTACTGCTACAAAAGGAAAAGAAAAAAACCTACAGTGTAGGATTTACATACTTAAAGAAAAAGACACATTTGTCTAAACCACACTCGACAATGAAATTTGTATCCATATATCTCATTTGGTAAAACTTTGCATCCTCCCTTCTAGTTGGTTCAACACAAAAAAAAATTGGTAGCTTTTTTTTTTAAATCTACATCTATACTGTGTACATTTTGAAGCAATACAAATGAGAGGTTGTACTTTTAGATATCCACCAATACTGACCCAAGTGTGATGTCACCCATCTTTTAACTACCATAAAAACCCAAATTAGATCCTTGTAGTTACTAATTAGAAATAATATAAGATATTTTTCTCCTCATGTAGAAGGCCAGACCTGAATAGTTGAGAGCAAAACCGCTCAACTCTGTTGATCTACTCTTCATATAAATATAAGGCATGTGCCTAGTTTTGATACAGAATGGAATATTTTTTATATCTGTGATATCACACTGGACCAGCCCTGGCTCTCACACAGGGAAGGCAACCCACTAGTCAATGCTGGCATGGAGGAGTTGAGTTCTACCTTGAAGAGAGAGAAATCAGTTTTGTTAGCCCTGATATTAATTTCAAACCTACTGTTAAAATGTTAATGTGTACTGGGCCAAATAAAGAGCATAATACATTCTGCAGACTCCTTGGGAAATATGGTCATCTTACTCTTTATACAAGTGAATTAAAACATACAAACATTGCTAAGAATGAACTCTTCTCCAATGCCAAGTAAACTACAGTTGGTCATGCATAATATGGGGATTTATAATACTAAAATAATGTTTAAAACATGATAGCCTCAAAAAGGCTGACATACTGCCAGATATAATGAACCTCTAGCCACTGTCATTCTCATCTTGTATATTTGTAGATAACACAAAGCTGATTTCCAAGAACAGATTCCTTAGCTATTCTTGATGCCATTTTAATAACAATGTGGTTATGTTTCTTTCAGGGGCAGTATCTTAGAGCAAGAGGGGCAAGTTTTTCCAGATTTTAGGAATCTTTTTAAATGGAAAGAAGACAGAAGTGGAACATTAGTTCAGTACAAGTAACCTTTTGTTTGTTTTATTTTTCCAAAGAAATCTTCAAAAGACTGAAAAGTGAAATTTTATGCTTTATCATAAATACCATGATTTTATTTTTAAATCCTTAGCAATTGCAAGATGCAAAGTTGTTCAGCCACCTCTCAAGTTTTCCACCAGTTAGGAGCCATAAGTTTGCCATACATGGTTGATAGCAAGTACCATTTTTAAATGATTGGCATAATCTGGAGACAGGATGACAATTAGTACATCTATGTTTAACCAAGATGAATATGAAATATTATAAAACAGAACCTTCAGATTAATGTGATTGAACAGCCTGAGTTCAATCTTAGTATTAGATTTTGGCATTTTGAAACCAAGGTCAGGCTGATATATGATAGGATGCAAGTGCTTCTAAAATTAGTATCCATGTTCTTTGCAGAGATTTTAAAAGCAGGATGAAAAGTCTCCCACTTCTATCAAGGGAAATGTGCCAAAAGTTGTAAAATCCAGCTGTGCTCCCCAGAGATACCCATAACTTAGCTGCAGGACCCAAGGCTAGGCAGCTTTGAGAATCTCTTTTTTTAGTGGTTGATCATTGGTTGCGTTGTTGCTTCATTTTAGATTGTCCAACTGAGGAGGTTGCAAGGGTTCATAGAATTTTTTTCACTTAACTTGGCTTTAAGTTTAGAATTGGGTTTTTTTGTTTTATGCTCTGAACTAGATAGTTGGAGATTTATGGACATGCTTGATAAGAATACTCTTAGTTCTATGACATTTCTAGAACATTAATATAATGGAACAACCCCTGACTAAATTCTAACACCAGGGAAATTATTTTTGTTGACGTAATAACCACTGCACTGAAGTCCAAAATTCTACTGTACCTTAATGCGGGCAGTTAAAGAAACAAATGGGGATAAAACAAAATGTTTCTGAACTGTCCCTTGAAGACATTTGCATGTGCCTTTCCCTTGTAATTGTCATTTTTTTCAACTAGTTATCTATTGCCCCTGCAGTCATTTCATGTTAAATGTTAAAATCAGTGTTAGAAGGAAAAATTCACCTAAGTTCTAGACATTTTCAGCTGATTTCTTCATATTAAATTACACAATAAAAAAAAAATAATCTCAAAAAACACCACCCTAGAAAACATGTACTTTTAGTATTAATTATGAGTTGCTGTATTCCCCTATTCCCTTGGAATGACTCTAAGAAGTGATTTCAGCTAGTGCATTGCAAGGATTTGTGAGCAGAAATGTGCTTAGTTATCTATGTGAATGTGTGCTGGTGATGGAAATCACCGCTTGCTGTTGCTGAGCACCACCTTGCAGAGCTGTCAGCGTTCTGTGTATTGCCTTGAGTTCAGTCAGTATTCAGTTTTTCAGAATCAGTGTTCGTTCCCTGCCTCTAGCAATGTTCTACTTTTTGCAGCCTACTTATTTCAGCATGGACTTAACAAGGCATATGGCACCTCTTAACAGAAGTGAGGACAGCAAGACCCAGAGACACTTTTGTCTTGCTCCACATAGTCTCCTTCTTATGTATTTGTGGGACACATACTAACTATGGCTCTTTTGGGTGAATAAGGAATACAGTGTCAAAGTCAGACCCAGACAAGAACCTTTTTGGCAATTATTTTAAGAACTGTGGCTGAATGCTTACCCTGCCTCTTGAAGGAGTCAATTCTCTGCTAGAGATCAAGGAGATGCACCACAGTTTATTTTACTGCAGGGGAGAAAAAGGACTGGGCTGCGAGAAGGCATCTGACCCATATGTCTCCCCTATCATATATTCAGAAACAGGTTGGTAGTGCATACCTGGCACTAAAAGAGGAATCAAAGGTTTTAACCTACCTCTGACTTGTATACTGGCTGGTCTCCATGCTGACACTAGCCTGAATTTACCTGGCAGCCAGTGCAACAAAACTCTGAGAAGCAGCAATAGTTCTGCAAAAAAGGAGAAAACTGAAAATGTCCGAACCAGCAAAGGAACTTGAGAAAACAGATACTAAAATATCCTTGTCAATAACTCCTGTAAGAGCAGTGCCCGGGCCTCTCGCAAATATGTTTTGAAGTCCACTTACACAGATCAGTATGAAGATAAGAACAGATGACTGTACAAGTGTTTACAGAATCACAGTGAATCACAGAATCATTTAGGTTGGAAAAGACCTTCAAGATCATCAATTCTGACCTTTAACTGATCACCACCCCGACAACTAGACCATAACACTAAGTGTCACGCCCAGCCATTTAATGAACAGCCCCATGGATAGTCCATTTCAATGCTTAAACACCCTTTTAGTGAAGAAATTCTTCCTGATGTCCAACTTGAATCTCTTCTGGTGCAGCTTGGGCCTATATCTTCTCCTCCTGTCACTGGCTGCCTGGGAGAAGAGGCTGACCCTCACCTGGCTACAACCTCCTCCAAAGGAGATGTAGGGAGTCATAAGTTTCCCCTGAGCCTCCTTTTCTCCAGACTGAACACCTTCAGTTTCCTCAGCTACTCCTCATAGGACTTACACTGTAAGTCTCTCCTAGCTCTGACTCCTCCCTAGCTCTGTTGCCCTTCTCTGGACACATTCCAGCACTTCAATGTCCTTCTTGTAGTGAGTGGAACAGGACTGCACACAGGACTTCAGGTGTGGCCTCACCAGTGCCAAGTACAGGGGGACAATCACTGTCCTGCTCCTGCTGGCCACACCATCACTGATACAGGCTAGGACACCATTGGCCTTCTTGGCCATCTGGGCACACACTGGCTCATGGTCAGCTGCTGACAGCCAGCCCTCCCTGGTCTTCTGCCTGGCCACTTTCCAGCCACTCCATCCCCAGCCTGTAGCACCGCATGAGGTTGTTGTGACCCAAGGACAGGATCCAGTGCTTGACCATTTTGAACCTCATTCCATTGGCCTTGAAATATTAATCCAGCCTGTCCAGATGGCTCTGCAGGGCTTTCCTGCCCTCCAGCAGATCAACACTCACATCCAACTTGATGTCACCTGAAAACTCACTGAGGGAGCACTTCAGATCATTGATAAAGATATTAAACCAGATTGGGCCCAGTCCTGAGCCCTGGGAACACAACCAGTGACCAGAAACCAACTGCTTGTGGCAGCATTCACCTTTCTTTGGGCCTTAAAAACTTCAAACAGTTTTTAATCTAGCCCTTTTCCAAGCCAGTTAAACTTTCCTTGAGTTAAAGAGAACATTGAAGCAATGGATACAGAAAAGGGATGTTTGCTATGATTTGCCAAAAAATCATTTGCAAGCAGCACCCCACCTCAACCTTTTTTTTAAGTTTTGAGTTGGTTCTCTGGTTCTTGTCCCTTCTTCTTTCTTCTTAACTTTGCAACTTTCTTTGCAGAGCGGCTTTGTCCATTAAAACATAATGTTAGATTCAGACTGGGAAGATTCAGACTGCTTTTACCCTCTGTACCCACCTTATTATACATTCACACATGCTTATAAGTGCCAGCACAGGCAACAGCTCCTGATACAACTGGAGACACCAAGGCCCCTAGAGAACTGCTGATCTCACTGGACATTTTTTAACTAAACTTCATTTCAGCTGTCTTCATTATCATACTGCCATTCAAGGTTTCCTTTATTTACTTGAATGGTAGCTATCTTTTTTTTCCTTATTTGCTTAATTTTGATTTTGCATCACCTATGACAACAACAATTATAACACTATGAAGAAAATTAAGAAATGCTATACATTACACCCTCAGCACGACAAATTGTAATTTAGGCAGATGAGACAACATAAGAAGTCAGCATTAATATTTAATAGAAAGTTATATCTAAACTTTGTAATAGAAGAAAAAACTGGCAAGGAGATTACTGAGGTATGAAGGCCATGTTGCAACTAAATCACATCTAAGATGTGAAACAGACTTTCATACACCATGCCTGGATATCTGTTTTTGACATTAGACTTTCCCAGAAAGACTCTCACGATGTATGAATGTCAGATATCTGCATTTAAATCATGAAAAGACAAAGCATTTCCTGAAAATCCAGGTGAGCAAGCAATTTCTGGCTGCCCAAGGACAACAGCAGTTTCCAGCAAGGACAGACAAGAAACTACAATCATGCAGTTATTTTGCCTTATTCACTACTGCATCCCATGACAATGCAGTCCATTAGCCACCAATAAAATGCACAACCCTTACTCAATTTTCTTCACAGGAGGCAATATTTGCATAATAGGCTACAGTCTGTTCCACCTCCAGTTAGAGCAGTGAAACATCCAGCAAGAAGTGAGGAAGAGGAAGCCCCTTCTGACCAGTTTGCTAATAAGCTTTTACTATTGAGTGGTCCTAGCCTACCTGGGGCTATCATGATGACTGTTTGTCCATTCCCATCCTCTGCTCACCACGTGGCTTGGCGTGGAGTAGTAGGGAAAATAATATACAGTCAAGTTGT